GAACCAAATAGCGAAAAAAGTAGAACAATAGCTCTTAAGATAAAAAACTAGTAGCGTCGCAAAGTTAGCGGACGGACGGACAAAGTGGCCACAATAGCGCATTTTTTTTTTATTTTTGTGGAAATGCGCTAAAAAGTTGTGTGGTCGATTTTATGTCTTTATGTCACAACTGGAGCTCTGAGGTCTAAATAGTCCTGATCTCGGTCTTGATTCTATTTTGTTATCAAATTGTGCCAAATGTGCCACAGTTTCCGTTTAGCGACACTTTAAGATCCATTGGTGCCTGGTTTGTTGGTCAAATGAGAGGGTGCATTTTAGGTTCCGAATTTGAAAAATACATTTTTTAAGTTTGTGTCTTAAAGACAGACCAGTTATGGCCCTAGTAGAAGATTTGTTTCTGACTCTTTTTAGGCAAAGTGTTGAATAAGCTTCTATAATCCGTCTCGCCTTGACAGCTAGGGAACAGGGCGTTTCGTAAGTACGGATTAGTTACTTTTGATTCACGGTCACTGTAAATAATTGTTTGAGATTCGCTGGCATATCTAAATTATGGCGCACACGCGAGTCGCAGGGCGCGTTCCTGGATTTTCATTTTTGTTTTCCGAGCATTCGAGTACACGCATGTCTTAGCTCGACACGTTAAGCAAGAAGGGTGTAAACCAATTGCAATATCCAATTATAATTGTTCTGGCGATTGAATCTATATTCTGTGGATCCCGATTTAGTTGACTAATTACGTTTTTTGAAGTTGAACAGATCAATTGTTGCTTGAAATTCATTGTTTTATGCGTAACCTTCTTAATGGTTTGGGGGTTTTAATTTTTCGTACAAAATCCACCTATAGTATCAGTATTGGTTCGAGATTACATTCCACAAACGGGAATATTCCATTTACTTTCACGCATCGACACCTGTTTTTCATCAAGACACCTGCAGACCAGCTAGCGGTCTTTTTGTTTGGAGGTTATTAGGTTAATCTCGATGGTGTGGGTATTGATATAGTTCCTAAATATGTATTTTCGAATTACCATGTATATAAAAACGTTACAGTGAATAGGTATATTTTTCATTTGTAAACGAAATTAGACACGTGTTTCGGTTTCGCGGGTAAATGAGCCGTGCGCGCGTATTCATTCGCATTCAATAGAGAGACGCGTGAAGTAGGCAAGGCGAGCGAGTATATTTTTATGTGGCGTCTAATTAGTTATATTTAGTGGAAAATGTACTAAATATTATCCCACGGGTGCTTTTCCATACACATCAATCATTGATCGACGAATAGAAACAATTTTCAACGCCAATCGAGTTCAGGTACGAGGAGGACCGTCATTACATGGAAAACTTTTGCTGATATTATTTATGAAGCACTTGCAATTCAAATCGAAGATTGGTGAAAAGGATGTAAGACTGAAAGGAGGATACTTTTCCGTAAATTGTGGGAACTTGAGCCGCTTATCTGCATTTTCGTGTGACGACACAATTGCAGCACCAGCTGGTTTGCGATAAGGTACGTCTTGCATTCTACGTATATTAAATAAACTGAATTACGTTAACGTTTCTATGAACAATCGTTTATATCGTATTTATATGCGCGTAAGAAAGAAAGTTAGCGTTCGTTAACGGTATTCCAATCCAATGCAGATCTGGGTTTGAGTACAATATATGGAGGGTCTAGCGTTCTGGAAGTGTACTTACAGGTAGTAATCATTTTATTCTATCTTGCACTAACTATTAACCATTTAATTTCATGTCACAATTTGTTATTATTTACATTTTGCATTAAATGCTGATATTGAAGCTTCCAGCTTTTGTTTATGTAGATGTTATACTGTACAGGTGACTGTATGACTATTTGTATGGCTAAAGTTTATGTATTCACTCTTAAGTGGATTGTCAGTATGATGTCGCTCTGGATCTTTGATTTAACCATTTATTTCCGCGCAAAAGGTCTTCACGCAGTCCGATTGCCGCTGTATATGTTTCTTTTTCAATCTCGTGCAGGCTGCAGAACTTGCGCCTAGCTATACGAGAAGGGGGGGCCCTCTAATTAACTCTTCTTCTGTTTTAATATGCGTGCGTTTATATGGGCGATGCTCTACTTTCACTTGAATACTTACGGCTGACATTTGTCACTTAGTACTTCCGTGTTAAATTCATTGAAGTCGATGCTTGGAGTAGAACTATGCTTTGTATGTGTCCTTGTTTACATGCAATTTATCAATTTACGAGTTGTTTTATCTCAATTGATCGCACATATGTTTTTATGTACAAAATGGACGTATCATATGTTTTCCACTTGCATTTATGATGTTCGATACCCCCCGTGCACATGATCTTTTTGGGTTTCTTTTAAATGATACCATTTACATTTGGATAGTCGTCTGTAAATTGGTAGACATCAACAGCACTACCAAATGTATTATTTTACATCTGAATTGGCGATAAATGTTGTTTTTTGAACGTCCAAAGCACAATAAACACATGATTTGTTTATCAAATTCATTGAGGCTCATTCGTTCAAATTGTGTATTGAGTTAGGAAGATTACATGGAACTGTTTATTTAATTTATAGGAAGTATATAACGTTTGCATCATAAATAAAGCAGCCGATGTATTTGACAGTATTGATTGATTTAAAGATATAATTCAGGTAATGTATCGATTTTGATCTTGATGGTACATTCAAATTTGGCGCTTTATCCGAGCGCAAAGTTCCAAAATTGTCATATCATAAATTTACCTAAATTAAATTTTGTGTATACCAAAGCAAAAAAGGCAAGTTTCATACAACATGCTAACCTAATGAGCAGCCACAAGTCAACGAGTTAGTAATAAAAATTAACATCATTGGCGCAACCAAGGTGGAGGTAACCTAATACATTGTGAAACATCACAATGGGTTATTGGGTCAACTGGACTTAAAATACTGAAGATAGTAATTAATTGGATAATTCCTTTTTAAGGAACGAATCAACGGCGATTCTTGTAAAACGTTGCCATTATTCGAAATTCATAATTTGGTTGCGTCTTCAAGGATATCTTAATATAAAATTCTACTGTACGTGTGTTTGTGACTGATCTCCTTCTAAACGGCTGGACGGATTTTGATGAATTTTTTTACGTGTCTGTGTGTCCCCGGACGGTTTAGATTCACTCGGATTGTAGGATTTTTTTAAAACTTTTTCGTCGATATCGCACTTTGCTATTTCGCGTACCGATCGAGACATGCGCCGTACAGTGCCGATGTATTTCCATTATCATACATCCATCAATATCGAGCTGTAACTTTTTGAAGGTCTTTTTTTGTCCGTAATTCATTGTAACCTCTGTCGATATATGATCCATTTTGAACGCGTTATTCTTTTGGTTAAGTACACTGCCTTCCTTGCGAAGCAGTTGTGTATGTTAATGTAGAGTTGTAGACGATTTTGAAGTTGGTTACCAGCAGTCCTTTAGGCATCTGACTCGGGTTTGGGGTTCTTTGTTTTATCCTGGTTCGTTTTCTTGCGACAGCGTAAACTACATTAAAGGCACGATTTGCTTTTATATTGTACTGGTACTTTCATTATCGATGCGAGTTTTTGCTTGAGGTAGCATTTTATTTTTGGGGAACTGTTGTGAAATTCAGGACATTAATTTATTAAATCATTATTGAGTTAGAGGATTTATTGGGGTTTAAGTTCATTTTTTAACGTAAAAGTTTTGATATACTTATGGGGATTTATTTTGTATTAGTATGGACATTGGACAGTTTAATTTAAATTTAATTGATATGATTCTGGTTGTCATTTGCTAAACTTACACAAAGTAAATTCGGTCGGGGATTATCTTATAACATAAACATAAAATTTGGCATTTTTTATAGGCATCTTCAGAAAGGGTCGTCTTTTAAATGTTCGTAATCACGATTTTCGAGGAAAAAGTGACAAATACATGACGGAAATGTATACAATATTTTTCAAATCTATTGGAAAACCTATCTAAAAGCATTGATTATACGTGGGTATAATCAATGCTAAAAGGAAAGTTTATGTTCTTTACAGAAATGGTTTCTTTAAAACTAGCGTGACATGACGAGTTTTCCGAGACGATAACATGCCGAACAGCGGCAGCCGCCATTTTTTTCAAGATGGCGGCTTTAGTAGAGAATCAGTTAGGTAGTAGAAATCTTCCAGTTTGAACGTTTTTGGCCCAAAAGTTACCATATAATTATGAAAAGGATCTACTTAGCCAAAAACATTTGCGATGTTTTATAAACCTGATTAGTTTAAGTCAACAAAAAAACAAACTCGCATACCTAATCAAATACCTGCACAATGCGCTGTTCGCTGCCAATTAGCACAATCACAGATATTGCAAAATGTTTATTTTAAATTGTTCTAGACGCTATTTATTAGGAAGTAACTGAGATTAAGTTATCGACGAACCATGATAAACACAAACAAAGTGTTTTGTGTATATTACTGTATGCAGCAAAAAGATTCCCAGACTATCAATCGCTCATGCAAAATTTTTACATGTTTATTCATTTATATCGCTCAGCTGTTATAGCTGTAAGTATATTAAAAATAGTAAATAAACCAGGTTAAATCTGCTTTGATCCCGTAAACCGATGGAATTGCGACGTAATGGAAAATTCCCATTTGGAATACAATTTTAACTATTTGCGCGTACTGAAAATACCTCCCCTAAAAATAGGCAAACATTCAACTTAAATACGCTCTAGCATTGATCTTTTTTCAAGTGCATCTAAAAGTGAAAGTGTAGCATTGATCGTTTGGAAAAAATAGTAAACGATTGATAACAAAATACCACGCTATTGATTATTTTAATCTATAGTCCGTAAACACAGTTACGTAATTAATTTTAATAATTAAAATTAATTGCGATTTGTTGACCAGCCTCAACCTTCCTACGAGTCGCGTTCAAATAATCAACGGAAGCAGTGACCGCCCCGCAGACCCAGTTAATTGCTAAAATTACAATAAAAGTCATCGTACCTCTTTATTAAAGCTCGATACTTCTCACTGGGGCGAAATTTACTGTGAGGGAGTGAATATTTTGGGAGCACAAGTTGCAGACTTTCAGGCTGAACTGATCAGGAAGCGAAGTTTCGTTCCTGGTATATTGCACGATGAAGTGGAGGTATTTTCAAAGGGGGAGGTATGCGTGAACTGAAGCGCAAAGCTGTAATCCTCCAGACGTAGACTATTGAATTTTCCCGACCTTACTCTTTAGGCAACCAACAGTGCGTTTTCATCTCGCACGTTCTGTTTGTCAGTTTAGTAGATCATTGCGCATTGTCCTAAATTCTATATAAACCCCCTTGGGTAACACTCAAAACATGAAAATCGTGCCATCTTTCGAAATATAAAGATCGGACATAGTCTAAAATCATTTAGAGGTCAATAGGGTACGAAACTTGTTACGATAAACAGTTCAAATGTTAACAAATTTGAGTTAACCATGAATTGTTTATATACATACTGCATTTTACAACTTTACCTTGATATTTACATGACTTTAGCTTGGTACAATGACCCAAGCGTCGCTAGCATAGTTGCTCACTGAAGCGCAGCTTCCGTACAAGGACCAACCCAATTCATTGGAACAAGGGAGAAAAAAGTCACAATACTAATTAAATAAAGGGCTTGTGGATAACAGACACGTCTTCACCAAATTTTAAAGATACATTCAATTATTATTGTTCTCGAACAGTTAACGTTTGCACGTACCTGCTCTAAGTAGGCAGGTACCTATGAGACAATTTAAATCGATGCCTAGGTATATTATATTTATATAGGTACAACAGTAACCTCAGTAGCTCTTTGAAAAGTGTCAACTCGCAAATGATTGTTCTACCGTTAGTATTTTACTGTTCTTGTTCTTGAGTTCTGAAGGATTCTTGCTTTTGTACTTGACAATGGAATTTATTTTGGGATGCTACCAACAAAAAGCAAAGTACCTTCTTGCACATTGTTTTATAATCAGTGACATGAAAACTGCAACAATTTTTATTACCTAGACTTGTACCTAAAGGTTATAGAAAGGGCGCTTTACCCTCCTCCCACACTCCGTTCTGCGGATATTTGCACTGAAAGTTTTGACTTGCTCTCTATGAGTACCTACCTCTTTCCTCCGGCAAACCGTTTTCCAGATATTCGCTCTTAAAGTTTTGACATCGCCAATAGATATATTTCTTCCAGACGTCCGAATCGCCCTTTGTGAGTACCTAGGTACCCTCCTCCGACAAGCCGTTCTTAAGATACAATGAATTATATCCGATCACGATAAGGGGTCGAGGAGGACAATGGCTGGTAGAAATTAATTTCTTTCGTCGAGACCTTTTATTAGAGTACCATGAAGGGTAGAACGTGAGTTCAACCCCGCCCCCCCCCCCTTTTCAAAAAATTTAGTTGGCACCATTAAGTTGTCGTATATGTAAAAGTTATATGTACGTTTTACTTAAAAAAAAACAGTATCTCGGGAAATAATTTATGCCCCCTCCCTCCTTGAGACAGCGAAATTTGATGACTGTCTGCCACACCTCGAGAGTATAGGCTACGCATTGCAAAACATTCCAGGACTCTAAAAGTAGTTCAAAAGCGCAGAAGTGGGCTCGGACGGACGGACGGACGAACAAAACGCAAACAATAGCAAATTTTTTTTAATTCTTAAAAAATGCGCTAAAAATTTTCTTTGGCTAGCACAGATACCCCTCGCACACCTGCGCATGCGCGATTCAGCCCTTTTGGGTCTTGTGTGCCGGCCCGTGTGGTGTGGCGCAGTTCAGTTGAAGCTGGACCGTGGTACTAAGGGTCCCTGCTTCGAATCTGGGTTCGGGCATGGATATTTTCACATGTATAGAGGGTTGGTTGGTAGAACAGCCAAAATAACTTCCTAAAACAAATAAAGACCTCACTGTGATATTAATTATTTTAAATATTGTTGCTGTTGTTCCTCAAACTGTTCCCGACACTGTACCAATTGACAATATCAACTTTTTCTTCAGTTGAATAACATTCAAATTAATTAATCTGACAGCCAGATCTTTATTCGTTTTAAGAAGTTATTTTGGTTGCATGAAATTATAGGCGCCCTTCAGAAGTGCTTTTGTCATTTAAAAGTCGACATAGGGAAAAATACACGCAAATCCCTATGTCTACTTCTTAATAAACGCATGAGACACAAATAGGCCTTTTTACTTATATGAAGTGCCAGGGGAAACTGTCAGTCGTTTTAAGTCAATCACCATTGTGACGATGCAGAAGGTAAATCCTTCAACTTTTAGCATGGCGATATCTTAGGAGTGGTGATTCCTAGGAACAAAGTTTAAGGACCATTTTTGTAGATAAAAAGTTTGAGCTTAGACCTTGAGTAACTTTTTTTTAGCATAAATGGGATCCATGGGGACTTTGGACACTTTATTTCTACTGACATTGGGCAGGTCTCTACCAAATTCACCTCTGTTTGTCGCGATAGTTTTGCCAAAATCATGAATACAAAAAAATCCTTTTATTACTGAACGAAATGTTTCCTTATAACTAAGTAATAATAATATGACAAAAAAAAACTAACCCTAATGTTAGTATTATGTAGAAAAATAAAAAATCAAAGCTCATTATTGAACAACGTGCCGATTATATCGAGTGGAAACATCAATTAATACGTCAATTAAAGCATAATTGTTTGTGTTTTCTAGAAAATTTGTTTATGAGAATATTTTGTACGCGGTCTTGTTTATTTACATTGTATCATTTTTATTTGTATTTGAATAATTTATAAATTTCATTTTTAATTCGATTAGTCGATAATGATTAGAAAAAAGGCTTCTATTGAGAATTTGTAAGGTAAAATGGGGTAACATTGACATATTTTCAAATTTCAAATACTGTTTTATTTTTCTGTCAATGTTGCATTATTATAGATCAAAGGCGAGTCAATTTACACTATTTATGCCAAACATTGACATATACACGATACTTTGATAGGGGTCAATGTTTTCCTAGGGTAGGGTAACATTGACAGTGTATGTATACCTAAAACAAATAAAAATCATAATTTTCTAATCAATAAAAATTTTTCGTTTTATACCATGTGTATCATAAAGAGGATAGACGACAGACGTACCTTAAATTCTGCCAAAAAAGCAGGGCTACTTACCAAATTATAAAAAAAAATTAATTACAAAGATATGTCAATTTTACCCCATTTTACCTTACTTCATGAATAGTATGTAAATATATTGTGTATCAGGGTGGGCAATTAGTGTGTGGGTGGAAGATCGTGGGTTTATTAACGCCCATATTTAAAATTTATTGTCGAGGCATGTTGACCCTTAAGGCTACAATCTAAAAATATTTTCAACGAAATTGCAATTGTGATACAGCATGATTTATATCAAAGTTGCATTTTTTCAAATGGAACCCCCTGTATATTATTACATATTTCGATTCCTTGGTCAATAAAGTCACACAGGTAACTTGATTTTTTGAAATGGAACTACCAAGTTTTTTTATCACATCAAATGGAAATTTATAAATTATTCAAATACAAATAAAAATTTTATTATTATTACTGACATCCTGGAGTTTTAAATAGACCTCTTAAAGTGTCAATATGTTCCTCAAATGTGCGAGAAACTATAATAATATCGTCCAAATAACAAAAAATATTTAGACCTAAAATGTTATCCATTAGTCTTTATTGTGTGGCCAGTGCGTTCGCTATACCAAATGGTATGCAGCTTTTTCATAAGAGAATCGGGATGAAGAGGCACTTGATAGAACGCCTGCTTTAAATCTATAGAAGATAGATAACGCGCGTCTCGAATTCTGTCTAAAATGCTATTAACGTAAGGAAGGGGATATGCATCTGTCTTTGTAGGTGATCTGCCGTCAGAACTAATCGGTACTCTCCGCTCTCTTTTTTCTTAACCAACACCATTGGCGAATTCCATGTCGAGGTAGATGGTCGTACAATTCCGCGCGTGTAGCATTTTATCTAAAGCTTTATTTTCGTGAATCAGCATTGCTGAAGATAAAGGGATAAAGTTTAAATCACGAACACCACAAACTGCTCTAGCCGAATTTCCAAAACTTGCACTTTAGTATTTTGTAAAATGGTTGGCGAGAAAGAACGGCCGAATTTATTCTTCCTACCTCCTAGTTTTTTGACTGACATTTTGGGCACTGAGAGTAATAAAAATTGAGGTTACCACAAATGAAACAGAAAATTAAATTTCTTTTAAACACGCGTGAAAGGTCCCGACTCCCAACAATTATAACAAATTGTATGAGGCGTGGTGGTATTTGTATGCTTCGGAAAATTTTAGCTTTTATTAGATGACTGAGATGCAGATACGTTTAAGTGCTGTTTCTTTAATGGTTGGTGCATTATATCCGGTTCAAGTTTTACTGAAGATTCGAGTTTATTTCTTCGGTAACGCATCTTGTTTCCTATAAACGTTCTGAATTCTGAGCATCACATTCACATTATTAATTAAGACATTACCAAATGTAAATTTATTAAATTATTTTATTTTATTTATTTATTTTTTTTTATTGAAGGCATCGACAGCTAAGGTCATTAGCCTATTATATGTTTATTATTATTATTAAAAAAATTCAAGAAGTAAATTTTATTGCTGTTACTACAGGCGTAATAGTACATTGAAATACAAGTGCAGAAACGGTATTATTGAAAAACGAGTATAGCGAGTGTTCCTATTATACGAGTTTTTCAATGACCGTTTCGGCATGCGTGTTTCATACTATTTTTTCTACGAAAGTGAAAAATTCTTCTCTAGAAATTAGAAATTTTAACTAGCCAAATAACGACAAAAAATCGTATAGTCTGATCGTAGTTGGATGTTTCAATTGTAAATGATCCAGTAAGCCGGTTGCCATGACAAAACATAATTGTTTGAAAAATCGTAAATTTAAGTCAAACAATTTGTGGCGTAGTGAAGAAGTGTTAAGATAGATTTTGACGAAACTGAAGATGAAGAAGGTATGTGCACCCCGCCGGACGTTGCGGAAATGGCTAATGCGGTTTCGCATGAATTGCTACCCCAAAAGTGTAAGCAGCGTTTCGGAAAGGAGCTTTTTTATAAGAGAACAAATCGCTAAGTTTTTGAGAGAAGCGCCTGATGAAACATTTGTAATGATGAAGGTTTGTGAATTTCTTATTGTATTTTTAAATCATAAATAAGCATAATTTAATTACAGGTTGCTCTCGTCCTTGGAGTGGCTGGAGCTTGCCGTCGGAGCGAACGTTGTAAAATGACTGTAACGGATTTCACAGAACAAGATGCAATTTTATTGATACTTAACGATTCCTGACTCCAAGAATCATGTCCCAAGAACGTTTTCTGTAGCAGAAGGCAAAGAAAATTCTACCATATTGTCTGTCTTATACAACGAAACTGTGAATAAAGCAATACAATTACAAAGAGTTACTTCGCATATGTTTATTAGCGTGTAGAAAATGCGTGCAGAAAATATTTTTGCCGCACTAGTGTTTCAAAGACCTGTTTTCACAATCAATTTACCTACAAAAACAATCGTGTTTCTACACTTTCGTAGAAAAAGGTATTTTTTATTATACCTGAATCACAATCTCCGTTTTAAACACTCAAATGCGTGCGAAAAAGGGCCTTTAAAACACACGTGCTTTAAAGTTGCTAAGTAACGATACTTCAAGTATGACTTTTGAAACTGTCATCTGGATGAAATAAAAAATCCTCTTAGGTCGCTTTCTGTAAATGCAGAACATTTCTTTGGCTTTTGTACCTATCCTTTGGTTGAAGCTTTCACAAACGCGCGTAATTTAGGGTATGCTTCCAAATCTGTTCCACTTTTTAATCGCAGCATTGCTTTAAAGTTTTGAATGAATGCACCAAAATATAGAAGATTTAAATACCTTTGACATTTCCTTCATATATGCCAGCATTATGGATGCATTTAAGACTTTATTCGTAAGTAACTTCTTATTCAATCCATGCAAACAACTTTTCATATTCTTTGTAATAGGCTTTACTGGAGTTGGATTTTACACCTACCAACGTTTGTTTAGATTTTACAACAACCGATTTAATGGACGGTGTATTATCTTTTTCAACGGAAATCGTTTAATTCACAAAGACGATAATTTTTATAAGCAAACGTCAAGTGACATTTCCATGGCAATCGTGAAATTACGAACACCCAGCCCACTTAATTAGACATGTATTCGAGTATAACGTCAATATGACTTCATTGTATTTCCTATTTTTAAATTATACTGCAGGTATAATAAAAAATACTATAAGATACACGTGTATAATTGGTCTTTAAAGCACTTGCAACGTTAAAGGCACTCCGCTTTGCGTCGTGCCCTTAAACTCGTTGCGCGTGCTTTAAAGACTTGATTATACACTTGTATCTTAATATACTATTTCTAGTTTTTTCGCAAATTTATTAACAATTTGTTCGGAATCGAGAGCATCTCTTTCTATATATAAAAGAGAAATATTATGGAAACGGTCTTGAGCCATTGTTGTTCTTAACCAGTTCATAACTTTTCGCGTAGCCGAAAATGACCTTTCACAGGTTGCTGAAGAAACCTGGCAGTATGCTTGCAGCTTGAAACAATTATATTGGATTGGATTGGATTTAATAACATTTTTAGAACGGCGGTTTAATTGGCATCAGGTAGGCGTAAACAACATTACTAAACAAAAACTGGATGCGAGCGAAATTCACTTCAATTAACATTCTTTGACGTAAGCGATACGACCTAGAATCGCTTAACCGTTGTGGTACTTTATTTTGTTCATTCTTATTCTGCACGTCAACAATAACGCGTTGCAGTTTGTTTTAGAGAATTGTTTATTTTTAATCCATGACGTGAGGTAAAAAAAAGTTAACGCTGCACTCGGTGGGGTTAATTACATTACCTACATATCGGAATAGTAATAACAAATGGACCTGCCACTACCTATGGGTAAGTTGAAGTTACACAATACATACACCTATTATCTTTGCATACACGCATATGCTGTATGGATGACCAATGATTCATTGTCGGTCAAAATAATAGACTAACGTATTGGGTACGAAATCGAAAAGCATAATACATATGTGTAAATTCCAATTTATTATCAGTGATATGTAAAAGTTATTATCCATGCATACATTTAAAAGACTAAGAATCTAAAAGTTGGGTTCTTCAAGCTCGTCCACGTTAAGGGCAACCTTCAATTCGTCACTGTCCTTAAAGCATGGTGGCAGTTGATCCAAACTCACTTCAGTGTTATGGTCGCTGACGAGCAGAAACAGCTTCGACTTTATTTTACAGTGCGAATGCTCAAAATCGATGGTGGCCGTTACCGGCGTGGGATTTGACGAGAACAGAGCGACCCTGTGCAAGTTCGCCTCCTCCGATTTAACGTTACTATGTTGGATCACCACGATTACGCCCTCTCTGATGGTGAACAGGTGCTTAAAGTTGTAGGTGTGCGCGAATTTGTGAGTGTACTCGATTCCAATGGGCATGAAGATGGCGCGATGTGAGAGAAGGTGGTCGATCGCCGAGTCTAATCGGAAGCCTTTGCGGCAAGTTGGAAAGAAGCAGTCAAAGGAGCGATGAACGCAGTGCAGCTCGTGCAGTTTGAGTTGGTCGCTTTTTACGACCGTGGCACATTCTCTCCATCTGCACGGGTAGTGGACATCGGCGACAAGTCGTTTGATATCCTCATTCTCGGACGGAACGCATCTGGGATTCGTCCTTCCGCAGTCTGCGCAGATAAGTTGTTCGTCCAAGTCGAATATTGGCGGAATGAGATAGTTGAAGCACTCACTACACTTTAACGAGTTTAGGAAATCGCCTCCAGAGATATGTGGCAAAGGGAGCGATTGCGTGAGAGATAAATTAACGACGATGGTGGGGGGATTTTCTAAGTTGCTGAGGTAATTATTTATGTTGAGGGTGGAATCGTTTTGGGGTTCGCTGAATGTTTCATCGAAGTTGTGGCAGTTGGTCGCTTTTAAATTGATGCTACAATCACGATCAACATAGTTCAACAGTTGGATCCTTACGCTAGAGTCCGTAGCCTCATTCGCACAGTAGCGCACGTCGTATCTCAGAATGCTCTCTGTAGAATCGTATACGAAACCGATGATAAATAGGGCTTTCTCCTTAATTGTCGCGAACGTGTCGGAAGAGTTTTGGCCGAGTTCAAGAGTGATGGAGGAGTTTTTGATGCGGTTGTGATGAGATTCTGTGATGTGTGAAAGGAGTTGCTCCCTTGAATCCTTCCAATTGCAGTCGTGCGATGAGAAAGGGCAGAGGAGGGAACGAAAATCGCACTTCGCTTCATGCTGTATCGCCTCGTTGTACATCACCGTTTGCTTACATCCGCTCTCTTTGAAAATGCAGGGAAAAGCAAACCTGGCCAGAATTACCTCTAGCGCGAAAACTCTAATGCACCCTTCTTCACCGGAGCATCTTCCGCACCGAGTCCCACCATCAGTCATTACACTTAAAGGACTACACGATAAGTACCTCTTGCACAGAGCGCACTGAAGATGTTCCAAAGCAGAATTCGGAACTTTCTGAATTTTCTCGTACATCTTACCTCAACGCGGTCGTCAAGGCGAATACGTGGATTTTCAACTCTGTTGCATGCACCTCGAGACGGTTGCTAAGCAAATAACGTCTTTTTTATTGACGAATCTCAATTGATAACCCATTTACATTTTCAGGAACTGGGGGAAGCTTATGAAAAAGCCACAGATCGATTCGACTTAATAACTGTCGTGACAGGTCTCTAAATTTAGAACACTACGAACTGCAACTGCTCGTTATCGAAACAAACATTCTACGTAGTTATGCAGCACGTTATCTCAACTTTGCGACTACTTCTAATCGACATTTACAAGAATATTGTCAATTTTGATACACAAGCACTACATCTTTGCATGGAAGGGGGTAGATCCAAATTGGCAAGACTATTATTCCACTTTTTTGTTTATGTATAGGTACTTACCGGAAGAAAGTACGATATGTGAACGGCCACCTTAAATGTTGTGTCAGACTTCCGCAATAATAGAAGGGTGTCGAAAAAGAAACCCTTGCATAGGCATAGGGTTGAATGAAAAGGTAAATGTGTCCCTGATGGTCGTGTAAATCTGATCTGTCTTCTGTTCCCTGTCTGTCTGAAAAGATGCACTCATTTCCTTTGTTTCGACAGATTATTACTTCCGCCATCTGCTACATAGAAAATTCTCAATACTCAATAAATTAATGGGTTCGAATAAACACACAATTAATTGAAATAATAAAGTGAAAATTTTTTCGTACAGAAATTTTATGCAAAAGACTTTTCCAACCGTCGGGGACCAGCTAGCACCCTATGTTCTTGGTCTCAGTTATTTAAGGAACACCACTTCCATTATCGAATAAACTCAAACCAAATTCCGTTCTTATTCGTAAATAGCCCCCCCCCCTCGATTTACTCTACTAAATTCAAAAACTTCTGATAAAAAGGGTCTCCTGTCATTGTTTTCGGTATTTCGACCCAATTATTGTCTACATAACGTTTACAAAACACACGCCGCGCGAATTTATAGAAGGGGAAAGCTGTCTGCGCCATCTCAAGAGCGCAAATGCTGCTTACGTTACAGCCGTCTTAACTTTCGCGGAGAGAGCATCGTGTAGTTCAAGTTTGTTGTTTTTGTGTTATTTAATAATATCGAACGACGATTGTTGCTAAAACTTATATTTTTTACTTTTTTCTTTAGTTGTTTTAGCAACAATCGATATTATTGACATTACTTAAACTTATACATGGAGCAATACATAAAACATATTAATACAGGTAGTAATATTTGCATTTCTTTGTAATTTATTCTGTTAATATGTTTTTTTTTTAAATAATTTTCTCTATCTTTGTTTTGAATTTGACATGATTTAACCCCAATGCGGAATCACGTGTTTAAAAAATGCCGTTAGCTTTTATTGTTTGAAATCGTTTTCATTTTTGGTGTAAATGATTGCTTAATGTATGGTTTTTAATTTTTTATTATTATATGGTCTTGGCCCAAAGATTAATTTATATTTTTGGTAATTCGTTTAAAGTTGTGGAAATTATCGAATTGCTTGATACGTGTAGTGCCTTGTTGCTTGTAAACTAACACTTCTCGTCGTAAATAGTCAGTCAGCGAGGGTTGGGAACGAAAATTGTTGTGATCTCGAATTTCAACTGTAGGGGTGGAATCGAATTATATTTTTTTATAATTTTTCATCTTTGATTTTGAAATTGACTTTATTGGAGCTCAATGCAGAATCACGTATTTGATACCGTTTTTCTCGTTTGAAATCGCGTTTGAAACGGGTTTTCTCTATGCAATTTAAAAGAAGGTAGAAGACAAAATAGGGTACGTATAAATATAAGTGTAAATAGTGGGAATAACGGGCAGCCTCGGACGCAGGTTCTGTGCCAGTTGGATCGGGGGCAACCTTGATCCAATCGGTCCATTAGGTGGACACCGAAGAAATAAAATCAAGCCAAGAGCGAGAAATAATCTCCATAGAATCACCTTCGCCTTACAGACGAAGATTTTCACAGCGTTTGCAAGCAAGAAAACAAAGTTGAAAATTTCTACAGTGGAGCTCCTTAACGAGTAGCCACACCTTTAAGTCTCGTCGATCCGTGTGCTTTTAACCTTATCCAAGTCAAGGAGACGGATCCAACCCATTCGACAACCGAAAAGCATCTGGAGATCTCTGCGGGTGCATAAACAGTAAAGGTATTTGTTCTTTCGCGTTGTAGTTATGCTACTTTTCGTCGTCGTTTTCCTCGTTCGACATTTGAACTAGCGTCGTAGTGTAATTAAAGAAAATTTAATGCTATGGTACCCAAAAAATGGGCTATCGTAATATTCGCGTAAATTATGTTCCCGTCCCTCGAATACGAATACTTTATAACGTGCATACATTAAGAATTATGTTAATTCTGAACAGATATTAGTTCGCTCTCAAGAGAACCTAATTCCAGGTAAATTTTTCCGATTAAGAGCACCAATGTTGGTTACGTACCGCGATATTCGTTTTAACTTTTGTCACGAAAGCGTCGTGCAGTTTGTTCTTATTTTGTGTTATTTACTGCATGATTGCAGGTAGTAATCTTTGCTTTTATTTATATTTGTATGCAACATTTTATATTTTTTATAATTTTCATCTTTGTTTTTGAAATTGACTTTATTTAAGCTCAATGCAGAATCACGCATTTGATACCGTTAACTTTTCTTGTTTGAAATCTCGTTTGAAACGGCTTTTTCTATACAATTTAAAAGAAGCCAGAAGACAAAATGGGGTACGTATAAATATAAGTGTAAATAGTGGGAATAACGGGCAGCCTCGGACGCAGAATCTATGTGCCAGTTAGATCGGACAACCTTGATCCAATCGGTCCATTAGGTGGACACCGAAGAAATAAATGAAGCCAAGAGCGGGAAATTATCTCCATAGAGCCACCTTCGCCTTGTAGACGAAGATTAGAACCTAATTCCAGGTAAAATTTTCCGATTAAGAGATTCCACCCTGTATATATACTTACAACCTATGATGATACACACATTACATTTTCGAGAGAACCAACGTTGGTTACGTACCGCGATCTTCGTTTTTACTTTTGTCACGAAAGCGTCGTGCAGTTTGTTATTGTGTTATTTCATGCATGATTTCATGTAGTAATCTTTGCATTTCTTTATATTTGTATGCCACATTTTATACTTTTTATAATTTTCAATTTTGTTTTTGAAATTGTCATGGAAAATGCCGTTAACCTTTTGTTTGAAATCGTTTACGTTTTTGGTGTAAGTGTTTGCTCAATTTATGTTTATGTTTCGGTTACCTAGTCTTAGCGATCCAAGTTAAATTTGTAAACTTTGACCACTCTGTTAAACTTGCCGAAATTTCGAATTATTAACACTTTTCGCCTTGAAGAGACAGTCAAGGTAAATAACTGTAATCACATTAGTTACGACACCTGATGCTGGGACTGTTCTCGACTCTCAACTATATAGGCTGGAAATACTCTGCAACCAGGGCTCATTATTGCCTGTTTCATGGGCGAAACGAACACAAAAATTCTTAGGTTCAGAATCTATGCTTCTAATTTCCACATGTTGTGTTTTTAAATGTTGAATTTACCTTCCAAGGCTATGTAATTTTCCATGTTGCTTGTACCCCAACCAGTTCTTTGTTTTGCAACTTGCATTTTTTACAACTAACGTTAGGGGCTCTGCCTTAGATCACGTGCCATTTTTCGAGGAACAAAGAAGAGCTACTTGGAAATAGATAGGTACCATTACAAACGTACAGGTTGTAACAACGTCAGGTAAAGACGTCAAAGGAAATACAATGCTCAAACATATCCCGTATGTGCTTCTTGCTCTGGGTCATATTTGAAAGGTACGTCGGTACTACTACTATACTATTCAACTAGAGACCAAAATCGTCCACTAGAAAGTCTTCGGCCAACAACGGATGCATTACTACAAGTATTGCATAGCTAGACACGTTTGGTGATATCCAAATAAACGCACACTATGCTTGCCATCAGCAAAAAATGGTGTTGGTGGTTGCGTAATGAACCTTGGCAATGGAAATGGTTGGAGTGACCAGACATTTTTGAAATACTCTCTTAGGAGGAGGTTTTTTTAAAGGTTTTTTTTACTGAATCACTTAATGCTATATTTTTATGATTCAGAACTAATTTAGGATTAGGTAGAGCATTTTAATCTCGCTCGAATTCTATCGTATAATATAAAATGTGTCTTGGTAGGGAAAATATAATTTTGGATTATGTTTTTCCGAGGGTTTTATTCGAGGTTTTATTGTATCGACTCAAGGTCTTCATTAATCAATTTACATGCATTAGTTGCTTTGTCTACAGAGGAATTTGAGTGTGAGTAAAAGTTCGATTTACAGTTTTCTTTAAATTATTAGAAAACGTGTTGAGTAAAAGTGGACCTAATACAAACCCCTGCGATACTCCTCTCCAGTTGTGAAGAAAACCAATGTTTTCACGGTTCAGAGAAACTCACTGGCAATTGCCTTGCGACTAAAACCAATAATGCAATAGTGTCAATAATAGAGAGTGGTCAACTGTACCTATAAAATGCTTTATTTTAATCATGAAGCGAGACAAATTCTGTACAATAAAAAAGTCTTAGTTTCACTACTTTTTTCTTCATTGACAACAAGAGTCAAAATAGAAACCTCTAAAGCGAAATGAAAATTACAACTTCTAGAAAAAAACTATGCTCAAAAAGTAATGGCTCTATTCTCGGAAACCCATTCGAACATCTGTAGATTTAGGAAGGTCGCTCGTAGTAATGGTGACAAAAAATGAAATATCCATGGTTGTCCAGAACGTTTCAACACTAAAAAAAAAGAAAATAACGATAGTTATAGTTCCCAAGACGACTACAGCCACTATTGCATTATTAACTAGATTTTCATCAACACGAATCGCCTCCTCTATAATTACCTCAAAATTGAAATTACGGTAATTATACGCCAGTTATACAATCTAAATCCGTCATGATTTTTTTAATTACTATGTATAAATACCTCCACCCCCATCCCCTAAACGTAATCATCAGAATGTCGACCAAAAGTGATGTATATTTCAGGCGCGAACTTCTAATGCTGCGATTAATCGGCATTTCGTTTGCGGACAACGAAAAAGTGTCTTATAGGATCTACGCGTTCTTTTGCAACGTTCTTCTGTTCGGTTATCCGGTTATCGCTTTCAGCGATTTATTTAAGCACGAGTTTGATATTGTCGCAGATCTTTTGATTTACGAGCTGGCCACGATCATGGGTACGGGTAAGTTGCGGTAAAGCGAATTAAGCAAAATTTACCATTTCAGTGTGCTGCGAGGCTTTCGTCGTCATGTGGAACAGGCAGAAGCTGAAAGCTCTATTTAGAAAGTTGGAATGTGCGCCCTTTACTCCCAATTTTGAGCGTGGAGGCGAAGTGGAAGAGAGCTTTTTGAAAGATTTTTCGATTGTGACTGGGAGGCAGGCCAACATTTGCTGGGGATCGGTTTTCAGTACCGTCGGAATGTCGATTGTGGCGACGATAATCAAAAGGGTCAGAAGTAGCGATTACCGTGACTGGGAGTTTACGTATGGTCCACTGACAGTTTTGGACGTTACGCGTAGCCCCTATTTCGAGATAACCTGGCTTTACCAAATCACGTGCGTCCTGGTGATCGGTCTCACCCACTGTTCGGTCATATTGATTATCTCTGAAATATTGGGCCACGCAAGCGTTCAGTTTAAGATCCTGCAGAACAATCTGAGCCAAGTTACTGAAAATGCCCACAGAATTATGACGAAGAAAGTTCGAGGTGTGGCCGGCGACGAAGTTGATGTTTCCAAAGTGCCTTGGAAGTATCTCCAAAAGTCACTAAACGAAGCAATCTCGTATCACCTGAGCATTCTCGATGTTACATCTGAAGTGGAGAAGACCATTAATATGCTGACCTTGATCATTTTCCTGTTTTCATTAGCAGTTACCTGTTTCCAAGTTTACCACGCGTCCATCGTACGTGGCTAGCTGTTTACCTTCCATCCTTAATACTAGCACTTTTTAGCTATCTGCGTTTAACGTCCGGTTTCTTAAATGCTTCACCGATTCCTCTTCGGCAATATTTCCGGTGTTCATCTTGTGCTTCTGGAGTCATCAAGTGGCCCACGAAAGCGAGCAAGTGGCAAAGTACGCATTTCAGGCGAATTTCGTCGGAAGCGATCTGCGCTATCAGAAAGGTCTCAACTTGATTATGGTGAGAGGACAAAGGCCGGTTATCCTGAAAGCTGGAAAATTTATAGAAATTTCTCTCCCAACATTCGTCTCGGTAATCCAAATGAATTATTTCTCCGAATTTAGTTCACACTTTGTAGATAATTCGAGCGTCTTATTCGGCTTTTATGGTTTTGAGAAGCGTTAATGAAAAATGAGGCACAGGCCCAGGTACTGTGGGTTTTTACACGCAGCACAATTCACAATCTAATCACCAATAATCCACTATTGGCAAAATGTTGGAACACAAACAATCACGAGTGCAGTAAGGTAATCAAAACATAAGCATAAATTGAGCAAACATTTACATAAAAAATGATACCGATTGCAAATAATAAAAGTTAAAGGCGTTTTTCATATACCTACGTTATGTCAATTTCAAAAACACAGATTGTTGTATGCAAAACACAAATAAATTATAAAGAAATGCAAAGATTACTATTTGAATTAAAAAACAACAAACTTATACTACACGACTTATACTACACGATTCTCTCTCGATGACAGCTCAAACCATGATAGCGGCAACGAAACAATAAGTGTTTCACATTAATATTAACACGATATTTTTTATTTGTAGTTGAAGTTACACATTGGGGTGTTCCACCCTGCACATACGCAACCTTGCAAACCATGCAACCTTTTAAGAGAAGAGGAAAGCTGTCGGCGTATCAGAAAGACGCCATTAATCACCACGTGGCGACGTCCAATTGTGGCTGATCTCGGCAACTCATCTGTAGACTGTGAACGAAAGGCATATTCTCCAAAATATTGCATTTTCCGACACGCCGTTCTACAGATATTGGCACTGAAAGTTTTTATATCACCAATAGATATATCTCGTCCAGACGTTCCACTTGCTCTTTATGAGTACCTTCCGACACTTCGTTTTCAAGATATTCGCTTCAATGTCACCAATAGATATATGCCTTGTCCAGACGATTCATTTTGCCTTTGAAAGTACTTTCCTCCGACAAACCGTTTTGTAGATATTCTCTCTTAAAGATTTGATATCACCTTAATGGATATATTTCTTCAAGACGTCCGAATCACTCTTTGTGAGTACCTTCCTCCAGCAATCTGTTCTTGAGATATAAGGAATTATATCCAATCACGATAAAGGGTCCAGGATTGGTAGAAATTAATTCCTTTCGTTGGCCTTTCATTAGATTATATGAAGAATAAAACCAGTTCCACCCCCCTTTTTTGATGAGGGGTTAGAAAGAAGGGCGGTAGTTGGCAGAAAATTAACAGTTCCATTTGTTGAGACCTTTATACTGAGTTGAGACCAATTACTTGTCGTATGTAAAAGTTATGTACGTGTTACTTTCAAAACAGCATCTTAGGAAATAATTCACCTCCACATTAATAGGTCAACATGACAGAAGTGGGTTCGGACAGGCGGACAGACGGACGAACAAAACGGAGGCACACGAAAGCACGAAAAACAGAGTTGACGCTTTGTTTTCGTTGGGGTCGTTTCGGCATTCGGACTCAGCGAGTACATAAGTAAACATTGGGTGGGAGAGGGATTCTTAGTCGACTTTCGAAGTGAACCTATGTAACTTGTGCGCGACATTTTAAGAGCGAGTAGCAATTCTCAACTGAAAGGTGAATTCGTATAATGGAGGTATCAAGAAGAATTAAACCGCCGCGTATCGTACATGATATTTATTGCGAAAGTTGAAGTTAATGTCCGGATCCCAAGGACTGTGCCGCCATTTTGACGAAATTAATTATCGTGAGTCTTTTTAAATTCATTGTGAGCTGCCATTACGCGCAAATCCAATAATGAGTGGCGTATTTCGAATATCTTAACACGTCCGCGAACACTTTCGTTTCGTTGCATTATTAGATCAGCCTGATTGCGTTTAAATAAATTGTTACCACGAAATAGTTGTAGTTAAAGTGCAGCACGTTTCATTTTGCTATATTTGCAGTGGCTATATAGTTACGATAAAAAACCAAGTTTAAATGAGCTGATAATAGATTCTGAATAAAACTGTAACCGGTAAAATGTTTAAGGACGATTAATTCGCGCTTTTGCTGGCTGTTAAATCCAAAAGCTATAATAATTAATTTTGACATTTCCCTACTGAGGAACGTTACTAATTTTACTATTAATTTTCGAGAAACATGAAGCCCAATTTGTTCTTGATTTGAGTAGTCAACCGGCTCTTAACATTCAAAGAGTAACCACATTTACCACAAGACGTTCCACCATTCAATTTTCTGAACTGCAGCTGTCTTTCAAAAGGGGAGAATCAACTGTCTAACGGAGAAAACCTCGACGCATCGATAAATGTAAGTTAATTGCATTTTCTGCATTTTATAAGAATAGGGGTCGGCCGTTTTTTAGGAATTTTGTATAAAAACTGTACCTATATGCTTAAAGTCAACTTAACATTCCTCAAGAGATCAACCCATCGGAGTTTATTCCATGCGCAGATTTCTATATGTTGTATGTAGAGCATCAGGTTTTCATTTTCAGATTATAAATGGGAATGGGGAACCAACTTTCTGCAAGGTAAGTCATGAAAAAATTTATTCATTACTGAACTAGCCGTGGTAGTATTACCGACTGCCGTAGAGATTGAAATTTCCAGCGCAATTTCATGTACTTATACTAATCCGCAGCCAAAATCATACAGTCAAAAGAACAATCCAAATATCTACCAGTAATAGAATTTAAAGACTGCCTTTGGCATTTACTTTTGGATTTTGGAACCTCGGTATCAAGATGCAAAAACTTGTTACCTAATTTAAAGAAAAACTCTGGTACTCCTATTACCCTAACTAACAGGGATTGCTACCTGTATTCACGGAACCGTTTCTTCTTCTATGTAAGAGAGGCCTTTGCGTTGCTAATGAAATTCCTTGCCAATTGAATTTCTTTAAGCAAGTCAAAAATACCTACTGCTACTACTGGTGGAAACAATTAGGCAAGACACCTTTACATTTGAAACAAACATACGATACGCTCTGTATACACCAATTGTGCTACGTTTTGGATTTCAATAACCGTTCTGCCAAAAACCAGGGGATTTTCATAACGAAGCTTGCGGAGAAAGTGAGCGGGTTTGAGTAATGGCGGGTCTAGGCATTACCACCTAAATAACATTTAGGTGGTAATGGTCTAGGCTATTTTGCCTGTTTTAAAAACTGTATCTACAGGTACTTAGTAACAATTTTATTGTTTCTTGTACTAACTATTATAACATAACCATTGAATTGCATGTCACAATTTACTCGTTACTAGCATAATCTCATAAGTATGTAGGTACTTTCCATGTTAATTTATGGTAACCGACGCCACGCCATTTTCATGTTTTTTATGTACATGCAATTCATTTTATGAGTTGTTTTATCTCAATTGATCGTACGCATGTGTTTCAATGTGTTTTTGTTTCCCACTTGCATTTATGATGCCTCGCGTGTTGTGTGTTTATGAATTTTTTAACTGATTTGATTCGATTATACCTCATTTTTATCGTACAATTTTTGTATTTTCTCTTTTGCATTTTGGGGTAGTTATGCCAGGTTTTTTGTCCATAAAAGGTTTCCCTGCTATGTTTTTAATGTATTTATTTGTTCTTGTCCTCTCTTACTCACAAAATTCTGCATTTTTAAAATGTCTCACGTCTCAACACATAAAAGAAGCAATTGCACAACGTATGAGTTCATTGGTGCCGTCCATATTAAGTCGATATTGCTACCGAGATTCAAAAATGCCGCGAAACGTCCGTCGTTTCGACTTGAAAGTTAGGTGGCTCTGTTTTTTCTGAGTGTTGCCAACTATAAGTACCTACAGGCTAAGTCAAAATTACAGTACCCGCTTGGGGGACCCATAAGATCCTTATAATTTGAAAAATTTCTTGTTTACCCTCTGCAATAGTGTCGCAATTGTATACCTAATTACCTACCTATTCAAGATGTTCAATATTCAGTCTTTGACACAACAACAAAACCTGAAAATCAGGGGGAGCAGGTAGCTAAGAAGAAAAAGTGGAAGAAAACATTATATTAAATATAAAGAAACTGCCCTTGTTATAAGGGTTTGCTTAAATACACAGTATAATAATAAATCATATACATAAGATAATTATTTATACAAACTTAGGTTTTTAAGGTGGTATTTCAGTATAATTTATAATATATTTAAATACAGTTTACATTATTGTTAAAATAGTACAAAAATCGTCAAAAATGAATACATTTGTCAGTCTGACAAGCAGTGTATTAGAATTTTAATACAATTTCAATGCAACACAGAAATCACAGATCTTAAAAAGAATTCCAAGAGGTGCTTGGACGTTTTGCTCTCAAGTTTAGTGCAGTTGTTCAGGGACTCGACTTGTATCGACAACCAGGCATTGAAGCAAGCGGGGGCACGATCAAGTTAGCAGAAGAAAACAAGAGAAGGAAATCTGAAAATTGCGAAAGTGCTTATGAACTCTTCGAGTAGGTACCTCAAGAGTCAAACTTCCTCACTCAACGAATTAGCCTAGAATTCAAAGAGGAAATGCTACGAGTATCATGGGAACCATTCCATCCATGGGTTCCCTAGATAAGATTCTCTTAAAAAAATTATTGATCAAAATGAATATAATTTCAAATTTTGTTCTGCAAATATTGTGTTTGGTGATACAGGAATGAATGTGCACAAAGTCTTAATACCATTTCCTTTGGGAAAAAAGCCCTTTGTTTTGTAGATTTGCACAGTCCTGCTCATTGAGTCACAGTGTAAAACTGGTCTCCACATTTTGAGAACCCCTGGATGTTTGTTTCCATTTTTTGACTTTTGAGTTGATATGACATGACTTTAACCTTGATTATCATATCTAAACCTTATAAAGCTATAATCTGGTCAATAAAATGAATTTTATTTGGTGAAATGTTACAGGCAATCGTTACAAAGTTACCCAACTCAGTCACTCAACGTTTAATCGCAACATACTACCGAGGTAAGCGATCGAACCTCAGCGTGAGGTCGGTAGACTGATTTGGGATTTTCAGTGAACTCTTTGAGAGTTAACGGTCTGAGGAATAGTCACAGTGCTCAAAACAGTATCAGGTTTGAAAAAATGAAGATCCGCATTTTACCGGCACTGTCCGACAATTACATGTATCTCGTAAGTAAACTTCAGAGGTAGGAAACATGTGGGTAACGCATGCAATAATTGTAGATTATCGATGAGAAAACAAAGCAGGCGGCGATTGTCGATCCTGTTTCGCCCGATACGGTTTTGCAAGCTGTCGACGAGGAGGGTGTTAATTTAACAAAGGTTCTCACGACCCATCACCACTGGTAAGAGTAGGTATTACTGTGAAAGGCTGAATGATCAGTGAGTAAACTCAAAAAACCCACTCGTGTTTTTTGAGTGAACCTCCGGGTGGGCTCAGCTCAAACCCAGGTGGGTTATTCTGGGATATTTTATATTGGGTAGCTAATCATTTTTCTGATATACATTGTTATTTACGCTTGTGGAATTATGCATTAGACGTCGCTGCAAAAATTTAAAGCGATAAAGTTTGCACATTCGCTATAAGGCATAGATATATTCTTAATTAATATATTATTAATAATCTATGCTTTAAATATTTTGCGGCGACATCTAATGTATAAATCCATAAGCAGTTTGTACATGTTTATATTGCTGGTCGATAGAGGGCGCTTTTAAGTATATCTGTGATTGGGCGTTTGACTTTTTAATTTTAATATCTACTCCTAAAGGAGTCGACCTATGGGAACCATATGCATTTTGTATTGTATTTTGGTTATTTTGTTTAGTTGATTGTAAAATTTGCAGATAAGATTTGCAAGATAAAATATTTACAAAAGATAAGGATCAAATTTAGCATAGATTGCATCGATCGATTAATCCTAAAAATTTCAATTTTCAATGATATTGTGAAACTAATAAAAGCACTTATGAATCCCAAAAAGGCAAGTCAGTGGGTTTTAACTCCACTCAATATTGCAGGGATCATGCCGGAGGCAACGAAGAACTGGTCAGTAAATCCAAAAATGCCCTGCAAATTTTCGGCGGCGATCAGCGCATTAATGCACTAACAAATCGCGTCAAACACGGTGACAAGTTTACAATCGGCGACATTAACGTCGAATGCCTCTACACCCCTTGCCATACGACGGGCCACATATGCTACTATCTGACGGCAGAGGGCCAAACACCCGCCGTTTTTACGGGCGATACTTTATTCATCGGCGGTTGCGGTCGATTCTTCGAGGGAACCGCAGAGCAGATGTACGCCGCCTTGGTAACGCTACTCGGCACTTTGCCCGATAATACTCGAGTGTTCTGTGGGCATGAGTACACCGTGCAAAATCTGAAGTTCGCAGAGCACGTGGAGAAGGAGAATAAGGATATACAGAGCAAGCTTCAGTGGGCGATTGATCAACGTCAACGAGGATTACCCACGGTAACAATATTTATGAGACCGGTTAGAGTAGGACTCTGGGAGCCTGTAATAGTAGCAGCTGGAGAATAATGTATGCATTTGCGCCCCCCCCCCTCCATTAGGCCAGATATTACCTTAGGACCATGTGTAAAGGATACTTTTTGTGGGTGTAATATTTCCATAACAACTGCAATCTTTGAGAATATTTAAGCTGGAGTAATGTGAGCTTTGGTTCCGTTCACTTAGCCCCTCCCATACGCGGATAAAATATCGGACCTTTTTTTTAAACACCCTGTATACGTCATTCTACGCACGTTAAAGCGTTGTTGAAATAAATTAATATTTCATTATTTTAAGGGTAAGGGGGTGCCCATCGTGGAAGCAGTGAGTGCTAACTTCTAACGATATGTTCTGTTATCTCGGTCTGTGCCAGCCTGAATACCACAACAATTGCGCCATCTGTCGTCAGTAAGTTGTATGATAGGGTTTGGAACTAATATAAGAATTATCAATGAATTACATTCAATGAAATTATTTAAAGTGAAACTTTACCCAACACACCCCCTGGACCTTACCTAAAGTACAAACTATAATTAATAAACAATACTTAGACTAAGAAATAATTTTGCTCAAAGATTAAATACTAAAAAATGAAGTCTTAAGTTAAAAAAATTAGCCCCCTCACCCCCTCCATTAAAACCTCTTGCGCATGGCCCTAGGACGTTAAATAATAGGGGGTGCAAAGCGTACATATATTTTAACTATATTCAATTGTCATTCAAGATGCCAAAGCCTTGCTCTAACTAACTGTCATTTGTACAGTCTGAAAGTGATCACCCTGTAGGTGCCCTCGACGATTGCCGAAGAAAAACTGATAAACCCGTTCATGCGAGTTGAAACGCCGCACGTTCAGAAACACAGCGGTGCGGCCGAAGCGATCGCAGTAATGGCTTCTATTCGAAAGGAAAAGGATTCGTTTAAAGCGACATAAATAATAAAATGTGTACAGTTCATTTTTTCATATTATATTCGGACATTTCCACAGCATATTTCTCTTTTGATTTTTCGTACATATCCACGTAAATCTGCAAAATATCGTTACTTAACAGAGACAGTACGGATTAGGCTCACCTTTTTGTCTAGGGCCGTAAGCGATTTCCATTTAATCGCCAGCTGTCGTGTTAGCTCTTGCTTGGTCAGCTCTGCTTCGCCGGGTTTCAGTTCGGCGTTCAGCTGCTCCATTAGAATTTGTCGTTGCTCCTGGCAGAACTGGAAGAATGGGTTCGATGGTCGTTTCGGCGCCTTGGGATCACGATCTGATTTACCACATTTTCGTTTCGTCCCCTTTTTCGCACCCTTCACCTTTTCTTTCTCGTCTGCAAATATTTGTGCAGGTACATAACGTTTTAAGCGTAAATTAAGCGGTAAGTAAACAGATTAAGATACCTACGATCACTATGTCGTTCCTCTTTAATTTGCACGGCGAATTTTAAATTCGAGTGCATTGAAGTTTCGCTTTCCTCATCCAACTCTTCCTTCGGAATGACTGTCCAATCCTCTTGGTATAAATCTTTTAGTCTCTGTTTTAGCATCTTCACCGCCTCGTAATGGTTATGAGTAATTTTTTTCACTTGCTGTAGCCTAAAGAATGAATCATGCATTATATTCTAATCGACTAGAAAGTGAGCGGATACCTATAAACTAGCTGTTGATTGTGTTTTTGTACCGCTTCGCATCTTTCTAGCAGCAATTTGTACTTTTGATAGTATATGTCGTTTTCATAACTGTTTTCAACGTAAACGCCATCGTTCTCAGAGTCATCGGACATCATTTTGAAAGTGAGAAATGAATGGGTTAATTAATTTAAATAAATATTATTATCATATATATACTTCTCTTATATATATGATTATTATTGACAAGAGTAAAATTGAGGTTAAGTACAGTAGAATCAGTGATTCTAAACAGGTGGTGAATTGCGTCGTTGAACGCTTCCAATTGAGACACATTTGAACATTGACACGTAGGGCACTATTGGCACTATCAAGGGATATTTTCAAATTTAAACGGTTGTTTATATTAGGAATAGCGCTTCTGATATTTCAGCCACCTGTTTTTCTTGTCTTGAGATGGTATCAGCTCTTCGACATAGTCAGTATTGTATACAGGGTGTTCCTAAATATCATGTACATACGAAAGAGACTAATAATAATGGCTTATTTAATGAATAAAATTTCATATAAAACATAGGTCCGCAAACGCTTCGTTACCAAGCGTGTTATAATTTTACGATTTTTTAAGTTTTTTCCTCTCCTGCATATTTAGCTCAAATTTGGAATATACGTTACGCTGAAGTGAATGGTAGTGAGAATCAACAGGTTTTTTTACTGGGCGATGTTCCATTTTCTACCCCTGAACATTTTGCGGCGCGCCGCTGGTAGATTATAAATAATAAATGTTCCTATTTCTTTAGAAACTTTTGGGTAATTTTTTGTATCTGCGACCGTTATCAAGGAAAAAAAACAATTGTCTGTAGTGTTAAATGAAAATTACATTTTCAAAATGGTCCTGTAGACCTTGACTTTATTTGTATCTTTGTGTTTGCAGGTAAAGAAAATTAAAAAATCGCGAATTATATATTAATACTAATTTATGAGTGTTCTCAAAATCACTGAGCCCAAATCGAACTGATTTGGCCCTATCTGAGGATAAGCTTCTGGTACTTGTTGGAACAGATATGTTCAACGATGAACACTAGCGATCATTTCGAAATACGGGACTTTGAGGTAATACTTTGTGTGCGAGCGAATGTGTGTTTTAGCATTGTAAGGAAATTAATTGTTTCATTTATTCCTGACCCAAATTGATATTTTATTTAGCCGTATGGAAGCTAATAGGAAATTAGCAATTTTTATTTCAGATATAAACAGGCCTGACGAGAAGGGGGGGGGGGGAAACGGGGGGGTTCCCCCTGGGCTCGGATTTTGAAAAGGGGCCCATTGCATGGTTTTTTGGGAATAACATTTTTACATCCATAAAGCATACCAATTTCACTAAAATAAAATATTTCATATTATGAGTCCTTGATTAGTAGAATAAAGTAATGTGGAATGGGTAAGTTTAAGCACAAAAAAGGGGCCGTGCTTAACAACCCCCCGGGCCCCAAGTTTCTTTCTACGGCCCTGGATATAAATAAAGTAAATTAATATGTACACTGCATTACGTATATATTCGGGATGAATAAATGAAGCGAGACATTGGAATTAAAATAAGAGCGAGAAGAGCAAGTTAAGTAGCACGTCTGTTATGAGTAGATATTTAAACCATTCATTGTTGTAAGATAAACCGTTATTATCTCGTCAGATTTTACAAAAGCGATTACCTACCTATAAATATGAGTGTAAATAGTGGGACGCAGCGTTCGTTAATCGGCGTTACACAGTGTCCGGTCGTTTTCGCAAAACGCGTTGCATTTTTCCAGTTAATCGGTCCATTCGGTGGATTCTGAAGAAAGAAATTAAGCCAAGAGCGAGTCATCATCTACATGCGACCTGCGTAGCTCAGAAGATCTTACGTTAGAAGCTCTAACTTTGGCTACAAGGGTCCTGGGTTCGAATCCCAGTTAAGGCATAGCTGTTTGTGATTGTATAGTGGATTGAGTGGGAAGAGTAGCAAATTGCTAACACCCCGCCCACTATAAAATAAAGGCAATAAAATAAAATAAAAAGTAAAAATAAAATAAATTATGTTAGCTTGGCGCTGTAGACGAAGATTTTCGCAGAATTTCCAGGGAAAAAAACACTCCCTACACTATAAAATAAAGGCAATAAAATAAAAATAATAAATAAAATAGGTATTGTAATAGATATAAATAGCGACTTAAATTCAACGTCATAGTTGGCGGTGATATGGTGTTTATCGTCAACGAACCTCAATACACTTGTCAGATGGACCGGTCATTTCGAGTTGAAAATTGATACGCGGAAAGTTCAATTGACAACTTTTGAATTACTCGATACAACGATGTAGGTTTCTTCGCGTAACTGCAGCCACGGACAACCGGATTTCACAGTTTACCCTTTGCGTGTCAAGAGACGCTGCTATCATTTTTACAACAAAAATGAACGTTGAAAAACTGCAAAGAAGTTTATCAGAAATTCGTTACATTCACGAACGAAGATCTCATGGACGAGTTAATTTATACAACGTCTTTGAGACGATTATCATGAGCCAACCTTTAGATATGAACAGGAGAAAGATGGAATCCATCCTCAACAATGATCTAAGCATCAGCACAGTCCACTTAGATAGACGGCTGGTTAGTGTATTATGCGAGGCCTTAGCGTACTATATGGGTGTCTGGCCCGGCTGGATGCGACTGACCACCGATTTACCGTCCTCCAGTTCACCCGACTTTAAACGATTTCGCCAGTATCTCACCCTTAAGTGTAACTTTATTTTGAAGAATGCCGCGGATTACGAAGACGGAAAAACTGTGCACGACAAAGGTACGCAAACGGATAACCTCACCGGCAAGAAAGAGATGGCCCCTTATGATTTGGTAATCGGAGGACCGCCGTCTGTTATAAACAATTTGGTGTTTACAAAACACGCGGGTAAGTCTTTTTTTGTCACTGCACACATTTAAATTGTAGACGCTTTTAGGTGACATTGTGATAAAGCAACATCCCGAGAAGCCCTGGCAGGGATTGCAGTTGCCCCAGTTTCTAAACTGGCCGTACGTTTCGGTTACAGTAAAAATGCCCGACATTTCTCTCACGCGAGCTAATAATCACAAAGTTAATCGTTACGTCGCGCTGCACGGTGACAAGGTTGTGTTTCCCGAGATTCATTACATCGATTACATCATGAAAACAAAGCCCGGAACGGAGTTTGAGCCGTATTCGTACACATTCTTCTTCTACTATTTTCTTCAACTGAACATCGTTCTACAGAAGATACCGAAGGTAATCGTGGCGGCATCAGTAGAGCTGGTCACTTTCAGCGTGTTTTAGGTAAATGAAGAACGTCGAAACGAATTGGCCGTCATTTTTGCCGAGTATCTGAACGATATTAAGGAGATGAGTGTTTATAATTCGACAATGTCGACCCATTCGAGTATCGGCTTCAATATTGGTAGATGCCATTACATCCGAAGTAAGAAGATGGTCTCCAAGACAGAGTAGGTACATCTCAGGAGTGAATATCCAAAAAGATCTTAACTCAATTAGCAGAAACTGATTTGCCCTGTTACATATATACAGGGTGTTCCTAAATATGATGTAGGAGCTAATTCTTTAGTGCATTTTATGACTAGTTACCATACCATTTCTGATCTACAGAGCCCTGTCGTATGTCCATAATATTTAGGAACACCCTGTATATAATAATTATTAATTTAATTCTAGCTCTTAATGTTTGCAGGTTGGTTGATACAAGTGCAGTAAATTTCTACGAAGTCATCGTTCCGCAGGTCGACGTTTCGCTCCATTACTTCACCGCGGTGCAAGACCAGAGCAATATGGAGAGCGAGGATGTAACGTTTCAAAGTTTAAACACGTTGTTAAGTAAATTAGACGATTCTACAAGTTCAGATCTGGATAAGTTAGCGATTATGATAAACAACTCGAGTGTCATGTACGATTGTGCTCTGTGTAATAGAAACTTCACAGGACCTTCCGCTTATGAGTCCGCTATAAATCATTTTAGCGACTTACATAAATCGGAACAGATGGTTTTGTGTTATAAATGTGGTGTACAATATGACGTAGAAGTATTAACTGAGAAACGGTGGGCACATAATTGTGTTCCTAAAGAGTAATGTTTTTCTTTGTATTTATATACCAGTATGTAATGTTTTATCATGCATTTGACCAATTTTATTTCTTGTTAATAGCAAGAGAGTAAATACAGCACTATTTTATATACTATTTGTTTTGTATTTTACTTGTTTCCTTGTTTATAAAGTAATCAACATTATTCGATTATTTTGTATTAAACTTTGAGTTAAACAATTTGACCAGTTTCTTTACTAGTTGTATTACCTAAATCTACTCCCAAGTCCCTTTAAAGTTCGGTTAAAGACTGCAGGTAGGTATAATAATAATAATACTCTTTATTTCCATGTAGTGCATAGGATGCGTCAAATAATACAAAAAAAATCATTTAGATAGTAGAAGCACCTTTATCGCTCGTTTTTGTACAATAAATACCTTGTTTAAATGCAGTGAGTTGCCCCAAATAATTATAGCATAATTAATGTGTGAGTAAATACATGAGTATACAATTTTCTTAATAAATATATAGATTTGCTTACTAGTTTGGTTCTGGAGCTGCAGTCTCCTTAAAATTATAAGCTTTATGCATTATTTATTATTTTTTTTTTTAATTTTTTTTCATTTTATCCCTCTCTTGTTTTGGGCCCTCAACAGGCATGCGCCCAATTACAGAGTGACCCGCATAATGCTATTTAGACTGTATATGATCAGATAATTAAGGATTAGTTCAACCGAAAAGCAATTTTTGTCTAAATTTGTAAAGATATTGTCGATAGTCGACTGAAAACTATTGGTGTGATAAGTATTGGGGCTTTTATAGTTTTATGATGACAGAAGTTGTAAAAGTTTACCTTTTTGCTTACTGTCCATATCTGTGATAAGCTCCACATTTAGATCACCACAAATGATTATTTTATAGGATTTCTTACTTAGGATTTTTAGTAACTGATTTAGATTACTTAAGAACATTTCAAAATTGGAGTCTACTGTTCTGTAAATGCAGCAGATATAGCATATATGAAGCGCTCTAAAAGTAACTTGGAGACGTTTATAAAAAACTGTTAGGAGCTCTCTTCATATGTCATAAAAGCTCCACTGAAAGTGAGGAAATAATATCAAAGGACCCTAAAAGATTCTGAGAGAATGAAACCATTAAATAGAACCCTGGTAAAGTATTTAGAAGCTATTGGGGAGTGGCGACCCTTAAGGATTCTTAATAACCACCAAATTAAAATAAGCGCCACCCTGCCTTCGAGGGCAACGCTCTGCTCTCTTAGGCCCCACTTAAAAATGGTTGGCGCAATGATACGTGTTATACGCCACCTTACTCTCTTAGGCGCCGCCAACTAAGAATCTATAAGAAAGCAAGGTGATTCTGAACAGAATTTGATGGCGTTAAAAAATTTTAGATGGCGCTTAAGAAATCAAGGTGGCGCCTACGAAAGCAAGGTGGCGCCTAACAGAATTTGATGGCGTTAAAAAATTTTAGATGGCGCCTTAGAAATCAAGGTGGCGTCTACGAAAGAAAGGTGGTGCCTAACAGAATTTGATGGGCAAATATTCTTTGAAGTTTTGACCCTTCCCTTTGTTAGATCTTCTCGCCGCCTCACACCTTTCCTTTGAATTTTCTTACGAAATTGGTTTCTAGTCTATAACTTTTGATTGAGAAGTCCAATAGAAAAAGTACGAATCGTTTTGGATTCTATGCACCAAAATTAATACGAAAAAGAGTTTTCCCGAGAAATTTTGGTGTAGTCGATTTTTGGTAAAAAAGGAAGGTAAATAACTGCCTTTTTTTGAGCCCCGAAAAAAAATTGTCTCAGATCGACCGGGAAAAAAACATTTTCTTATAGAATGTGGCCCGTAGAATCCACAATTTCAAACAGTTCCAAGATTGGGCTACTAGATCAAAAGTTACAGCCCTTTGAAATTTTTCTCGAATTTCGTTTTTTACCCATAACTTTTGATTGAGAAGTCCAATCGAAAAAGTACGAATCGTTTTGGATTCTACGCACCAATATTAATAAGAAAAAGTGTTTTCCCGAGAAATTTTGGTGCAGTCGATTTTTGGTAAAAAAGGAAGGTTATACACTGTCTTTTTTGAGGCCGGAAAAAAATTGTCTCAGATCGACCCGGAAAAAAAATTTTCTTATAGAATGTGGCCCGTAGAATCCATAATTTCAAACAGTTTCAAGATTGGGCTACTAGATCACAAGTTACAGCCCTTTGAAATTTTTCGCGAATTTCGTTTTTTACCCCTAACCATTCTTTGAAGTTTTCTCACTCCCCTTTGATAGATCTTTTCGCCGCCTCGATGGAACCCTCTTCCGACATTTCGTTGAGCCGCAAATATTCTTTGAAGTTTTCACACTTCCCTTTGATAGATCTTCTCGCCGCCCACACCTTTCCTTTGAATTTTCTTACGAAATTGGTTTCTAGTATATAACCCGTGTTTGAGAAGACCAATCGAAAAAGTACGAATTGTTTTGGATTCTACGCACCAAAATTAATAAGAAAAAGTGTTTTCCCGAGAAATTATGGTGCAGTCGATTTTTGGTAAAAAAGGAAGGTTATACACTGCCTTTTTTTGAGGCTGGAAAAAAAATTGTCTCAGATCGACAGGGAAAAAAACATTTTCTTATAGAATGTGGCCCGTAGAATCCATAATTTCAAACAGTTCCAAGATTAGGCTACTAGATCACAAGTTACAGCCCTTTGAAATTTTTCTCGAATGTCTTTTTTTACCCCTAACCATTCTTTGAAGTTTTCTCACTCCCCTTTGATAGATCTTTTCGCCGCCTCACACCTTTCCTTTGATGGAATCCTCTTCCGACATTTCATTAAGAGGCAAATATTCTCTGAAGTTTTGACCCTTCCCTTTGTTAAATCTAAAATTTGTAACCCGCCAATTTGCCACTCTGCTTTTTTGGGTGCTGAGCCCCTAAAACCCCCTTTGATATTTTTCATGAATTAAGAAATGAACTTCAAGTTGGAGTTGCAAATGAATTATAGATTTTTTTGTGAAATTTAAAGCTTGAAGATCATGTGAGAAGTCTTTACTAACAAAATCTAAAGAATAGCCATGAAATTCTAGATCCTTTAGAGCTTTGAGAGCCTTATGAGTCCAATCAATTGCACAATCTTAACAGATTTTATGTGCCAGATATTGATTGCTCAACAATAATTACACAATGCAAGTATAAATTTTTTATTCAAGAAATGTTACATAATATTTCGCAAACATGTAAGTGGACAGTGTTTCGTCGAATTATAAAGTACTTAAAATATAATTAAACCTACACAAACTTCCGAAGTGCTACCACTAACAAGACAGATAAAATATTCAGATACATTTATGCTTCCACCTTTTCGTTACCAATTGTTGCATATCGAATTGTCCACCACAACGGTTACATATAAGATGATGGCCAACTTTATGCAAGTCGGAGAAGTGACTCGTTAAATTTGAAAGTGCGCGTTCACCACTGAAGGCCACAGTACAGAAAGTGCACCGATAAACTACACTATCCTCAAGAATTTTTTGCACGAGACGATTAATGGATTCATCAAACGGATCCGCTATTTGCTTAGTCAGCAGGTTCAAACTTTTAAAACTAACTGTATCTGACACGGATATGTCTTGTACCGCATGAAAGTGATGTAACGTACAAACAACCTCGGGTACAATTATCTCTACCAAGTTTATAATTGTCTTATTGTCCTGGACTTGGTCCTTTTGTGATGTGACGATCTGCTTCTGGCGATAATATTTAAAGTTGCCGATGTGAAAGCCGACGGTGGTGTGCGTTTGCATGCTGCCCCCGTTAATGTTCATTTCCCTTATGTCTTCCAGGAACTGCTCGCAGATCATCTTCAAATTGCACAAATGGTCAGTGCTAATCTGAGGAGCAAAAAATGTGAAAGGTATTGATAATGCGTGCAGTGCGCACTTACCTTCCCAATGCTGCTTAAAACTTCGAAAAGCTGCTCAATATAAAATCGGAAATAGACGTAGAAGTACGATCGTGCCAGCAGGGAGTGTTTCTTGATGTGCGTTATGAATTCTCGATCCGAGATGTTGAGTTCAGAGTGATCAATTGTGATGTACCGTGAAAAATTATGAGCGTTGACTCTTTCTATGTGGAGGTCCAACAGTTTCAGTTCGACAGCGACAAACGGCCAGTTTATAAATTCCGCTACTGTGAGTGGAGCCCATGGTTTAATAGGGTGCTGCTTGATGTAGATGTTTTCTACAACGAAATTGTCAATTTACAAATCTACTTTGTGCATAAGACCTACCGTCACGTGTAAGAATTGCGATGTTATTAATTATGGTAGGATGTCCTCCTATGACTAATTTATACGGGCATTGGTAACAATCCGTACTTGTTTCTTCCGTTTGTGTCTCAACAGTGATCAGATTGGAGTTCTGTTGTAGGTGCTTCTTCGCTCTATCCAAAAGCGCAGAGCACTTATAAGAGATGTACTCTTTGAATTGCTTATGCCAAACGTTGAAGGCAATTTTCCCATTGAGATACTCCGTTTTCCTTACCCAGCCGGGCCACACCTTGCAATAGTAGAGAAAGCCGTCGATTAACAAGTTGATGATGTCGTGACTAACGTTGGCGATCGAGAGACTACAGTCGTTCCTCAGAATTGCCGTAAGATCCAATGCGTGAACTTGTAACTTGGAGGAACTTAAAAATGCGATGAAAATTTCCTTGATTGTAACAATGACGATATCCTTCGGTTCATTTCGAGGTATTACTTTGATGAGAGAGTCTTCAGTCGCCATTTTCAGCTTCCTTCTTTAGTTGCAAGTTTTAATTCAAAATTTTATTGTAAATTCATTATTTGAAATATAGCTTGTTACAACAATTTGTTTATAAATAAACAATGGTTAATAAACCGTTACAAAGCTAAGAAAATATTTACAATTAGTTAGGTTATAAAAACTAAATAAATTCCATATGTTCAAAGCAATCCCACTATTTAAAATTCTTATTGGTCCAATAAAGAATGTTGGACTGTTACAAAAAACTACAATTGGAAAGTAGTTCAAATAATTCAACCTATTACAAGCTTTTTTTTAAATTTAAACAGAATCTATGCAAGTGGGTGAAGTTAGCACGGTAATGGAAACATTAACGAAATATTAAGCGCCAATCGTTAGTACTTGCCGTGCATGAAAAAGTAACCCAACACGTATACCCCTTTTTAAGGTACCCGTAATTTTGGTGTAGTCGATTTTTGGCAAAAAACGAAGGTTATGCACTGCCATTTTTTGAGGCCGGAAAAAAAAATTGTCTCAGATTGACCGGGAAAAAACATTTTCTTATAGAAGGTGGCCCGGCCCGTAGAATCCACAATTTCAAACAGTTCCAAGATTGGGCTACTAGATCAAAAGTTACAGCCCTTTGAAATTTTTGTCGAATTTCGTTTTTTACCCCTAACTTTTGATTGAGAAGTCTAATCGAAAAAGTACGAATCGTTTTGGATTCTACGCACCAAAATTTATACGAAAAAGTGTTTCCCCGAGAAATTTTGGTGTAGTCGATTTTTGGCAAAAAAGGAAGGTTATACACTGCCTTTTATTGACGCCGGAAAAAAAAATTGTCTCAGATCGACGGGGAAAAAACATTTTCTTATAGAAGGTGGCCCGTAGAATCCACAATTTCAAACAGTTCCAAGATTGGGCTACTAGATCAAAAGTTACAGCCCTTTGAAATTTTTCTCGAATTTCGTTTTTTACCCCTAACTTTTAATTGAGAAATCTAATCGAAAAAGTACGAATCGTTTTGGATTCTACGCACCAAAATTTATACGAAAAAGTGTTTTCCCGAGAAATTTTGGTGTAGTCGATTTTTGGCAAAAAAGGAAGGTTATACACTGCCTTTTTTTGAGGCCGGAAAAAAAAATTGTCTCAGATCGACCGGGAAAAAACATTTTCTTATAGAAGGTGGCCTGTAGAATCCACAATTTCAAACATGGGCTACTAGATCAAAAGTTACAGCCCTTTGAAATTTTTCTCGAATTTCGTTTTTTACCCCTAACTTTTGATTGAGAAGTCTAATCGAAAAAGTACGAATCGTTTTGGATTCTACGCACCAAAATTTATACGAAAAAGTGTTTTCCCGAGAAATTTTGGTGTAGTCGATTTTTGGCAAAAAACGAAGGTTATGCACTGCCATTTTTTGAGGCCGGAAAAAAAATTGTCTCAGATTGACCGGGAAAAAACATTTTCTTATAGAAGGTGGCCTGTAGAATCCACAATTTCAAACATGGGCTACTAGATCAAAAGTTACAGCCCTTTGAAATTTTTCTCGAATTTCGTTTTTTACCCCTAACTTTTGATTGAGAAGTCTAAGTCTAATCGAAAAAGTACGAATCGTTTTGGATTCTACGCACCAAAATTTATACGAAAAAGTGTTTTCCCGAGAAATTTTGGTGTAGTCGATTTTTGGTAAAANAAAATTCAAAGGGCTGTAACTTTTGAACTAGTAGCCCAATCTTGGAACTGTTTGAAATTATGGATTGTACAGGCCACATTCTATAAGAAAATTTTTTGTCCGGGTCGATCTGAGACAATTTTTTTTTCAGGGCTCAAAAAAAGGCAATAACCTTCCTTTTTTACCAAAAATCGACTACAACAAAATTTCGCGGGAAAACACTTTTTCTTATTAATTTTGGTGCGTAGAATCCAAAACAATTCGTACTTTTTCGATCAGACTTCTCAATCAAAAGTTATAGACTAGAAACCAATTTCGAAAGAAAATTCAAAGGGCTGTAACTTTTGAACTAGTAGCCCAATCTTGGAACTGTTTGAAATTATGGATTCTACAGGCCACATTCTATAAGAAAATTTTTTTTCCGGGTCGATCTTAGACAATCTTTTTTGAGGGCCTCAAAAAAAGACAGTGTACAACCTTCCTTTTTACCAAAAATTGACTGCACCAAAATTTCTCGGGAAAACACTTTTTCCTATAATAAATAATAAATAATAAAGTTTATTCTCTGTAATAGCCATAGACTATATAAGATTTGTCCAGTAAGAGATATACGTACATATTACATTACATTTAGTCACAAACATAACATACATTAAATAAATAATTAAAATCGCAGACAATATACCAGGCACATTCATTTATCAAAACCGAGATGACAAAAACTCATGACTAGAATAAAAAGCGTTTAATTTTAAATAACTGGTAACGGTTTTTTTTAACTCTTTTACAGATAACGAACGGTAACTCTGAGGGAGTTTATTGTAAAATTGTATACCATAATAATGACTGCAGTTTTTTGAAGTATTTAGTCGTAGTTGATTGGAACGAATATTATTTTTATTTCTTGTGTCGTACTCATATGATAAATTACGCAGTCGGTAAGTCGATAGGTTAGTGGCAACGTGTAATATGCAATTTAATATATAAATACATGGAATTGTTAAAATTCCAAGTTCTATAAATTTATGTTTACAGCAAGTTCTATAGTCCAGATCAGTTACAATTCTAATAGCACGCCTTTGAATTGAAAAAATTCTTTTAACGCCCGAAGCATGTCCCCAGGTAATAATTGCATAACACATTATTGAGTGAAAGTATCCATAATATGCAGTGATAACAACATCCCTAGATACTAGGGATTTTAAACATCGCAATAAGTAGCATGCTTTCGATAGTTTGACAGCTACCTGACTACAATGAGCTGACCAGTTTAACTTCTGATCAAGTGTGACTCCTAAAAACTTAATTTGTGTTGAGTTTTCTGCATTGTGACTGTGTCTCAGCGTGAAAATACGTTTTTCCGTTTTTGTTTGATTAATTTTTAGTCTGTTATTTAGTAACCATTCTTCGATATTCTCAATAAATTGATTATCGTCCTTTAATTCGTGACATCTACTCAATAAAGTTGTGTCATCTGCATAAAGAATAACATTATCAGATTGAGTTAAAAAAGGCATATCATTAATGTAAATTAGAAAAAGTATCGGACCGAGAACCGACCCTTGGGGTACACCGGTATTAATTTGTTGATAGGCAGATTTTTTATTATTGAAATGAACATATTGAGTTCGGGTACTCAGATATGATTTTAATAACGCGATACTTTTTCCAGTAAATTTATATATAGCCAATTTATTTAGCAAAATCTCATGATTCACACAATCAAATGCCTTGGTAAGGTCCAAAAAATTTGCAACGCAAAAGTCATTTGCCTCGAAGCAAGTTATAATTGTGTTTGTTAATTGTAATATTGCAGTGGACGTTGATTTTTGTTCGCGAAATCCATGTTGACTGATAGAAAATAACTTATTTGTTTCAAAATAATCTGCAATTTGGTTTTTTAATGCTTTTTCAAAAATTTTTGAAAAAACTGGAGTTATTGAAAGTGGCCGATAATTAGAAAGAACATCCTGATCTCCACCTTTATGCAGAGGGACAACCCTAGACACCTTTAGTTGAATAGGATATGTAGACTCACGTATACAAGCATTGATCACTTTGGTTAACGGAATCAGAATAACATTTAGCATAGATTTTATGATACTAGCAGTTAAATCAAAATAATCTTTGCAACTACTATTATTAATAGCATTTACAATATCTCGAACATTATTGAATGATATTTCATTAAAATCAAAGGATATCGAAGTTATAGCATAGTTACTAAAGTAACTAACTGGGTCTTTATTTTGAGACGGAAGTGAAGCGCTTATTTCGTCAGCAATGTTCACGAAAAAGTCATTGAATTCATCAGAAGTTAAATTTGTGGTACCTCCGCAACTCTCATGGCTATTTTGTTTTATTACCTTCCACATAGCCTTGGGTTTAGAATTAGAATTTTTTATAAAATTATCATTGGCTCTAATTTTGGCTTTACTCAATTCTTTTTTATAAAACTTTCTGTAAGTACTTGCCAAGTTACGTGTCTCTTCATTTTTAAACATTTTATAATTGTCGTTGAGTAACCTTAGAGTTTCCCGCATATTCCTTAATCGATCGTCAAACCAATTAGTCATGGGACTTGATAAACGTGATTCTTTAAGGGCCTTTGTAGGAAAGCTCAAAAGGAAAATATCGTTAAAAATATTTAGAAAATACTTGAATTTCTCTTCCGCAGGCAAACAGATATCGTCTACGAATGACCAATCCATATTCTCAAGCATACTGTACATTATTGACTTACCCACGGTCGTAATTGGTCTACATATTTTGAGATTATTTTTATGTTTGATGCTCTGGGTGGCAAAATAAATGGTTTGTGCTAGGTGATCTGAAATATTTGCATCAAATACAGAAGCATTAAAATTCAATCCTGCATCAAAGTTTACAAAAATATTATCAAGACAATTTTGATTTCTAGTATTTTTAAATATTGTAGGATATAGTCCATAGCTACTTAACCAGTCCGTAAGATATATGGCTTGATTATCGCTTGTGTGAAATTTCACATTAAAATCGCCACATAAAATGACAATATTTTTGTAAATGTTTAATTTAGAAAATAATACAGTAAGAGTATCGATAAACACTTTAAAATTCCCTAATGGAGATCTATACACAGATAGAATAATAATATTGCTGTTCTTCATAAATACACCTGATATTTCACAGTCAATTTCAACCGATATTTTTTCAGTGAGCGGAATGGAGTAACATTCGACGTCGCGTTTCACAAGGATCATTACGCCGCCATGCTTATGCACTTTCCTACTGAAATGGGAAATCAGTCTAAAATTAGATATGTTAACAAGATTAACGACACTATCATTCACCCAGTGTTCTGTCAAGCACAATATGTTCAGCTTATCATAAGATTTCAAGATTGCTTCAATTTCGAGGATTTTATTGGATAGTGATTGAATATTTAGATGACATACTCCATAGATGTAGTTTGTTAACTTGTTTCCTGGAGAATACTTTGTTTTTGTCGCTCCC